CCGATAGCCATGAGTCTTTTAGCATGGAATTGCTGAGGCCTGGGGAAACTTCATGCAATTCAAGCTTTACTTAGTCTGATTAAGGTTGAGATCCCCAAAATAATTTTCTTGTCCGAAACAAAAATGCTAAGTAAAGATATGGAAAGGGTGTGAAGAAAGATAGGGTTCAGTTCTGGTTTTTTTGTAGACAGAGTGGGACTGAGTGGTGGTCTGGGGCTAATTTGGAATGATGATGTTGATTTGAACATTCAAAGTTGTTCAAGGGGACACATTGACACCGTAATTATAGAGGAGGAAAGGGGTGTGAATGGCGATTAACTGGCTTTTATGGAAATCATGCTGCAAAAAGAAAATTTTCCTAAGAACTTCGATCAAGGCTTGGCCATTGCTTCTCATTACCATGGATTTGTATTGGCAGCTTTAATGAGATTCTAGAACAAGATGAGAAAAAAAGTAAACTCAAAAAAATATGGTCTCACATATATGACTTCAGGAAAGCAATTGATGAGGTAGGTTCGATGGATTTGGGTTTCCAGGGCAGAAGCAAGTTTACTTGGTGCAATCAATAAGAAATCGATGGAATAGTCTATCTATGTCTTGATCATGCATTGGCAAATTTAGAATGGATCAGGATATTCCTAGAAGCTGTAGTTAGACACTTAACTGCCATGCATTCAGATCACATCCCGATCAAGGTGGTTTTGAAGTAGCAATGGAGACAAAGAGGTGGAAGGCGACGGAAGAAACTGTTCAGATTTGAAGCCCTATGGTTAAATAATGAAGAATGTAGTTAGATTATTCATGATAAATGGGGAACTTTGGCAGGAGGCTTGGCTATGAAAAGAAATACAGCAAACATAGAAGCTGTGTTAGAAGACTGGGGCAAGAGGAAATATGGTAATATAAAGAAACGGATTGCCTGCAAACAAGAAAGTTTGGAGAGAAATCAATGCAATCAAACTTTCAGTCCCTTAGAGGAAGCAAGATTGGTGTGGGAACTAATGGTTCTGTAGCACTCTAGAGGAAGATCTACTGAAAACAAAGATTCAGGTAGATTGCTGATGAATTGGAGACCGTAATACAGCTTTCTTTCATAGCAAAGCAAACAGAAAAGAATTAGGAATCTAATAGAGGTTTAAAGCAAACCAGGCAGAAGACATAGATAGAAATAGCCTTGAACTATTTGTTCGATTATTTGCAGCCAAAGGTGAACCGAATCACATGAGGACGCCTTTATTAGTAGAAAATAAATAAGAAATGAGAAATTTAGTTGAAGTAAAATTTTAGTGGAGAGGTAGGTGTGTTCATGCATGTGGTCTACATCAAGTCGAGTGGAAGAAAGGCTTGCCTGGTACCGGAGATGGAATCACCATGCCCATGTGTTTGTTGAGATAAAATGTTCGTGGGTAAATTTCGAAAATATATAGATTAGATCGAGAAATGCAAGATTAGTTGTAACTTAGAGCCATTATATTACTATATAGAAACTGGATGAATTCTTCGCGAAAATGAGAGTGCCAAAATTAAACAACAATGTATAAGAGTAGTTGATGGTGTCGCTCATAAGGAGTGGATTTTAAGGAAATAGTAAAAGATTACCACTATGAGACTAAACTCATAATACCCAAATAAGTCATTTGGTTGTTTGAATGAAATATAGCCATAATTATTACATTGATGATACGATGCGTATATCTTGTTGCCAAGATAGTATTTTTGTACATCAAGTTCCAACCCAGTATTGTGAGAATCTTAGAAATGTACAATCAAAAAGAGTTGAGCTTTATATTTTGATTTAAGAGAGCAAGTAAACAAGGAATAAAAAGGAGACTAGAGATTCACTATATATTCGAAGGGACCCCTTCTCACATCACATCGAAACTGGGCAAGAGATCTTACGCAGTTGGTTGAAAGAGGAAAGAGACCAAATGAAGTGTGGGGGATGGTCTAATCAGATTAGGATATATGTGGACGCTAGGTTATGATGAAAAACAAGTAGACCGTTTGGTGGAAGTCAGGCGCGTACTCTATCTGATAGTGACTACACGGGACCTTATGGAGGATCCTAACGGTTCGATATATACTCGGAATGTTGTATAGTTCCTATTTGCACCAGGCCCACCTGTCAAATACAGTGTCTCCTTGGGCCTCTCACTGGCGCCCCCAGCAGTTTGAAGAAACCAATCTCTGTCTAAAGGAAGTATCGGCAAGGGCCTTTTTCGGCCCCTTAACTTTGTTTATAGTTATGTGCGGAAGGTTTCCAATCTCCTCATAAATGAAAGGCAGAAAAGCGAAGGTTGTGTGGGTGGAAAGATGATGGAATAAATAGTCTTTTCATTTCAACACTGTTTTTGCTGTTATAAGTTATTATTCTCTAAGGCTGATGAAAGAAATGTAGAAACAATCCAAAAAGATTTGTGGACGTATGAAAAGTAATTGGCAGAAGATTTTTATGAATAATCAGCATATTTTAGTGCTAATGTGGAGCTGATTTTTTCAAGAAACGACTGCAGTAGAAATATTGGAGTGGGACTGGCAAAACTCAGGTAGCAGGTACTAGTGGGATTACTTATTCATGAAGAAGTATTTCAGTAGCTAGTGGAATTTTCTGGCTTCATCTATAGATCGGTTTGGAAGAGTTAAGGATGGAGGCAGCTTTTTAGGTCAATTAAGAAAGAGTCGTATTAAGCTGAGGAGTAGACTAAGATGAGATAAGATGTATTTTTGTGTGATGTTGTTACATACATGTATTCTACATATCAATATATGGAACTTAGTACATAGTTGACTCTATTGTAATAGCATAACAAGAGTATTAGTCAAAGTATAGAGCTCGCACCGAACCTACCATACTAGACGAAGCTTTTATCAATCCTTAAAACGCATCTGAACACTGACCTTATATATCAGGAGATGATCGGACACTTACTTGCACACTTCACCGAACGCAATGCTCTTCAAAACTCATCTAGAATAATGCCCAAGGCATATTTACTAAGCTTAGTGCTTAGTTGATTGTTATCATTATGAACTAGGCAAAAGGAGCACTTATGAAACAAATCTCTGAGTTGTAAAATATCGTCCACAACAGTAGCCAATCTGATATCGCTTACACCTGCTGTTCGAACCTGATTGAGGAGCTGTCGGTTTGGCACTTGAAATTGCACATCCCTGGATTGCAAAGTCGCAGCTTTACACATTGCTAGCTTCAGTGCAGTTGCTTCGTCTAGCAGTCCTGAACCTGAACTGCTTTCTCGTAGTGTCCACCCTCTTTTTGCACCTTGATTTCCTTCCTGCAAAGTAATCCCAATACCGAAGCAAGACTTTGTCATATCTCTAGTTATTCCTATCCTCAATATCAAGCACCCATGTTCAGGATTTCGCTGCTGATTCTGTTGATGTAGAGCTTCTGTTTCATCTATGCTCATACTAGTTCCATTCCTATCTATTTCCCCAAGTTCTAACCATTCCTGGTGCGCCTTCTGGATTGTCTTCCATGGATGACTTTCCTTACCATTGAACTCCTCCTCATTTCTGTCTTTCCATATCTGCCAGAGAATATGGACTGATAGAGCAATATGTTGCCATCCTTCAGCTCTGGTTCTTGCATCTAAAATTTCGATCCACCATCTTCTGAAACAGCCTTGGTGTTCCATCATACCTTCCCATTGAATGGGGGCCAGCTTCCATGTCTGTTTAACTTTGCTGCAATTCAAAAGGGTATGTTCAATAGTTTCCCTGTCTTCTCCACACCTGTTGCAGATGGGATCACCTACTTTAATTCTACGAAATATGATGTCTCGCACAGGCAATGCATTGCTGAGGCATTTCCATAAGAAAACCTTCTGTTTCTGCTTCACCTTCAGTTTCCATAAGTCCTTCCATAACCTTTGGGATTGATTTTCCAGACTTGTAGAACCCTCCAGCTGATTCCTTTGCTGCCAGATATCTTTGTTCATAACCAGTAGCTTGTACCCTGAGCTGACTGAATAATGGCCACCAGCCCCTCTTATCCAAAAGTTTGCATCCTCCTTTCCTGCTAAACTAACAGGGATTGTCAAGATAGTTTCTGCATCTTTTTTATTAAAGTGTTTGAAGACAAGATTTCTGTTCCAGTTTTTCTGGCAAATTAGCTCATGTACTTGCTGAAGTGCATTATCAGAATTTCTCGGGGTTGTCACTCTTCCATCAAGTGTATCCGGAATCCACCTATCTTCCCAGATATTAGTTTTCCTCCCATTTCCTATCTTGCGTCTGGTTCCTTGTTCCACCAACTCCCGAGCCCCCATAAGACTCCTCCAAATCCAAGAAGCATTGTTGGGAACTTTGCACTTGAATATAGATGATCGTGGAAAATATTTTGCCTTCATGACTTGACTAACCAGCAAATTAGGTTGTGTTAGCATTCTCCACACCTGCTTGCCAAGGAGAGCTGTATTGTAAGCCATCAGATCTTTGAAGCCTAAACCTCCCATGTGCTTGTTTCGAGTAAGCTTTTTCCATGCACACCAATGTATTTTATTCTTACCATTTGCCTCCCCCCACCAGTAATTTGCCATTAAGGAACTAATTTCCTTACACAATTTGGATGGCAGCTGGAAACAGGACATGGTGTACGTTGGCATAGCTAAAGCCACAGATTTAAGCATTGTTTCCTTACCAGCTGCACTTAATAACCTGTTTTTCCACTTTAGCATTCGCTGGTGTATGGAAGTCTTAATAAATCCAAAAAGCTGTTGTTTTGATCCTGAAACTACCATTGGTAGTCCAAGATACTTGCCCTGACTAACTCTTTGCATATTCCCCATGGTTTGACAGATCTCGTCCATCAATTGTGGCCTGACATTCTTACTGAAGAGTATAGAAGACTTTTCCAAATTTATCTCCTGACCTGACCCCCTGCCATACACTTTCAACACCCTCTTTAACTCATTTGCCTGCTCCAGATTAGCTTTGCAAAAGATCACAGAGTCATCCGCAAAGAGAAGGTGTGTTATACTAGGTCCCTGTCTACTAATTT